CTTCCAATTACTGGAAAGCGCTGTCTTGTCCATTCTGTGTTCTGGGGGTGGGAGAGAAGATGGGAAAGATAAAAAAAGACGATAAGCAAGTAAATTTTCCGGACCCACTTTTTATTTTGGGGTTGATAGTTGACCAGGTAGCGACTGGACTTTACTATGTTGTCGGTACGTCCAATTTATATTACAATATATACGTATACAATTATTACCAATAGAACGATTAATCTGATTTGAGTGCTTGAAAAATATTGAAATGAAACCTGATCCTAACTCATCTAACCTTAGGACCACATTATATGTCCAGATAACAAAATGCACGCGCTTTTAGAGGGAATATGCAAAATCATTCGTACCCAGTCTTGAAATCCTTCGCAGCCCACTTCTCCGTGATCTGTCGTCTGGCCTTGCGTGCCTGGGTAATGGGTGTGCGGGACTCGAGCTTACCCTGAACGATCAATGTTCGGAATCGGTCATCCAAGAGATTGCCTTCCGGCTTCAGGAGACGTAGAGAATCCTGCAGCTCATCAGGAAGTACCAGCTCCAACGGCTGCTCGGGTACACTAAAATGACTTGTTAGCTATAAAATCGATATAAGAAAATGAACAGAAACGTACGCTTTCTTGCCACCGAAGGGCTTCCTGCGGAGTGCAGTGTCATCACCTTCTTCAGAATCATCTGCATCTGACTGATTCGCACGCTCGAGCTCCCGTTGCTGGATTTCCTCGGTGATCTTGAGAATATGCTGGGCCTGTTCATCTCTCTTTATCCGTGCGGCCTCCCACTTCGCTTTCCCCTCTGCTGCCTTGCGTCGGATGACCTTGTTGCGCTGTGTCTTGGACTTTCGCTCGGGGCGCTTCTTGTTCAGCCACTCGGGCTTCTCGTACTCGCTTTCGAAGCCCTCCCAGGCACTCTCGTCATCCGACTTCACCTCGCCGTTGTCGTTCTGGGCCTCCTCAATCAGACGCTGCTTCTCAGCTTCCTTGGCCTCTTCTGCTAACCGCAGCTTCTCAGCCTCGACTGCCTTGGCACCATGTGTCTCCAACAGTTTGTCCCACTCTTCGAACACAGGGTTGTAACTGGTTCCGGCGTGAGGCATCTTAACAGAGGGGATGGGCTTTCCGTTGGCAGCAAGCGAGATCGGAGCACGTTTTAATGTGACTGGCTCAACCTTGGGCTTGGGCTTTTGCAGGAAATCAAAGCGAGGGTCGTCGTACGTGAGCGTGGGTTCGGCATCTTCCGCCCACGGATCGTAGAAGTCATTTTCGGTCTTCTTGCCCAGAGGGTTTCCCTCCTTTGCTACTTGCTTCAGGCGGAGGTATTCCTTTTTGCTAACCCAGTCGCTCTTGGGCTTCTTCGTCTTCGGCTCAATGACTCCGTCGGTGACGTTCGGGTTTACACGCTTCCGGCCGTCCAGGGCGGGGATCATTGACCGTTGGGCAAGGATCTCATCTGACTTGAGGGGCTTCTTTTGCTTTTTGGCGATAGACTTGCGCACATCTTCATTGCCGACAGTATCGAGAACGAAAAGCTCGTCGGAAGGCTTTTCCGAGATAAGACCACTAGCAGGCAAATGGTATTAGAATCTCAGTCCAAAAGTCAAAGAGCCGGAAAAAAAGAGAAAAAAGAGTGAAGATAGGCCTACCCTGTGATCTCGGCGTCCTTCAGATCGCGCAAACCCTCCTGCACGGCGGTGATATCGACATTCTTGCGCCACGCCTTCTTACCCTTACGGGAAGTTTGCTTGAATTGCTGGGGGGCATCCACTGAGGTCGACATTGTGGAAAACAACAAAGACAGACAGTCAACGATGATAGTATGAAAATATTGGCTTATCTTTTTTCCGGTCCAAAAAATTTCTGGATCTGCTTATCTCATCACGCGCGGGGGCGGTGATCGCGGCTACCACGTTTACCGCGCTTGGCTGCGAACTCGCTTTTCTTCCGCTTCAAGCTGTCATCACTTACGGCGCGTGAACTCCCTATACGCCAGTGGGTTGTCATTCTCCATCTTTCTGGTGGCTCCCTTGGTCTTTTACTATCGATTTTAAAAGGCTTGACACTGCGCTCAGCGCGATCGCACGTCATGCCTGTCGTCAAAGGAGGTGTCTGGTAAGTGCCACCAGTGGAATCCGCCCACGAGGTTTGGTCGCTAACATTCTTTTAGGACCAACATTGAGGATGAAGTGCTTCGGGCAGCGGTACGTTATTTTTGACTCACTGGGAACCTCCCTAGCCAAGGTTTGATAGAGCAGAAACTGACTCGATCGTAGGTATCCAAATATGGTCTCAACCAGTGGGCTCGAGTCTCCTCTTTGCTCGCACGGAAAACCCCAAAGCAATGCAAGGCGCGCTGGATTGAATGGTTGGACCCGGGTATTCGCAAGGTTGAGTGGTCGCGGGAAGAGGATGAGAAACTGCTCCACCTCGCAAAGCTGATGCCCACGCAATGGCGCACAATTGCTCCCATCGTCGGGCGCACTGCCACACAATGTCTCGAACGCTACCAGAAACTTTTGGACGAAGCCGAATCTCGCGAAAATGACGAGCTTGGTCTGGGAGGACCTGGCGAGGAGAGCGCCGCCCCCAGTGCGGACGATGTCCGCCGCCTACGGTACGTGAATTTTTGTGAAATGCCATGGTTTTCGTGTTGCTGATTCCTTTTAGACCCGGTGAACTCGATCCCGACCCTGAATCTAAGCCTGCCCGTCCCGATACAATCGATCTGGATGAAGACGAGAAAGAAATGCTGAGCGAAGCGCGTGCTCGTCTCGCCAATACACAGGGTAAAAAGGCCAAACGCAAGGCCCGAGAGCGTCAATTAGAAGAGTCACGTCGACTGGCCGTTCTCCAGAAGCGTCGCGAACTCAAGAATGCCGGTATCAACGTCAAGGTCGTCACGCGGAAGCCTGGTCAGATGGATTACAATGCAGACATTCCATTCGAAAAGCCAGCTGCTCCTGGATTCTACGATACAATTGAAGAGAAAGATCAGAATGAACGCCAACGAGAAGCATTTGATCCTCGGAAGCAGCAACTTGCAAATAAAAGAAAGGGTGACCAAGACGATGACGCGGAGCGCAAGAAGCGCAAGAACGATAAAAGCAGCGCATCGGCCGCATCTGCTGCAGCTGCACGAGCAGGACAAATGCAGAAGATTCGCGAGGCTGAACAGAGCAACAAGCGACGGGCATTGAACTTGCCAGCACCGCAGGTCAGCGAAAGCGAACTGGAACATGTTATCAAGATGGGAATGGCTGGGGAGAAAGCTAGTCGAATGGGCTACGATGATGCAGGCACCCAGGAACTCATTGGAGATTACTCGACTATTATTGGAGGAACTCCCATCAGAACCCCGCGAGCTGCCCCCGAGGAAGATCGCATCGCCAACGAAATCAAGAACATTCGAGCTTTGACTGAAACTCAATCTTCCCTCCTGGGAGGGGATAACACACCTCTCCATGAGGGTAGCTCATCAACTGGATTTGATGGGATTGCTCCTCGGCGGCAGGCGATTGTCACTCCCAACCCCATGGCCACGCCATTCCACCAGGCGAATGGCCTGGGTGCAACACCTATGCCTGGCGGTATTGGAGTCGGTGCTACGCCCTTGCGCACCCCGCGAGACCATCTGTCTTTGAATCGGGAGGGAGAGGGTGCCCAGCTCATTGGCAGCACACCCCGAGACATTAAAATGCACCAGAACCTCATTCGCCAACAGATGCGCAGCAAGCTGGCCTCGCTTCCTAAGCCCAAAGAATCCGAGTGGGACTTTGATCTTCCATCTGAGACCGCTGAGCCCGCCGTATCTGAGGACATCAGCGAAGAGGACGCGGCTGAGCGTGATCGCCGTAATAAAGAGGCACGGGAGAAGGCCGCCAAGGCTGAATTTAAGCGTCAATCACAAGTTTACCAGCGAGGCCTGCCCCGTCCGGCTGTTCTTGATCTAAACGCTTTGTTGCAACGTGCCTCCCAGGCCACCGGCACCATCGAAGGCCTGATTGCCAACGAAGCTGCCATCCTGATTGCACATGACTCTCGCAAATTCCCCGTCCCCGACGCGCAGGTTAAGGGCCAAGCACCAAAGTTGACTCGGTTGGATGACCGGTTATTGGACGCAGCACGAGCTTCTATCGCCGCAGAGATTGCTTCCGCTGAAGCACAGCAGTCGGAATGGCAAGAGAAATTCGACGATGGCTGGTCGTCAGCTCGCGCCAAGTCTCTGCCCGGTCTTGAGAATTATGAGGATGACGAGCAGGATGCCTTCCAAGAAGAACAACGCATGATTGCGGCCTTCGACACCGTTCAAACATCCCTCTTTGCTACTGCTGAGCGTGGAAACAAGCTTGAAAAGAAACTGTCGTTGCACTACGGCGGATACCAGAACCGTGCCAAGACGCTGCGGTCGAAGATTTTGGAGGCTGGTGCTGCTTTGCCCGCAGCTGAAAATGAGCTAGACGCTTTCCGTACACTCCAGATCTCTGAGGAATCAGCTTTGACCCGGCGACTTGAGAGACTCCGCGAAGCGGTGTCGTTCGTTATGCGGCGTGAGCGGGAGGCTCAGGATTTGTACAAGATCCGAAAAGATGAGCTTGATGAACTTCTTGCTGGGACGGGTACGGTCAATGGATGGCATTAGGTAGTTTGCTTTTTTTGTTCTGCGTCATGACCACAATATCTTGCTCTTCTGTACAATTACTACCTCAGTCTAATTTGACGAACCGTACGCGGTCATTTGCTGGAAGGTTACCTGACATACATATGTACCCAAATTATCGTGTGCAATGGAGATTTTCATAAAGATTTCGTATCGGACTAGCTGCTTGCTAATTGAAGGCTTCCAACTTGTTAACACCCCAAAGCCTCTCCAGCTTCGCTTTCATGAATCAATGTCATCCTTCCTAGATGCTTCTGGAAAATATCAAGCTACACGAGAAGAATAAAGTTAGAATCCATTGGTAAAATGCAAACCGGGTATTACTGTTCGTACTTGCCGATGCCATATTAAACGCCGGGCCTTGGTGTCTCGGGCTTTGCATCTTCAACCTTTGAAGAACCCTCGAGCTCATCGTGCTCGTAAATCCCAGAAATCCGCTTATCGTACTTGGCAAGGGTATCCCTTTCCGCAGCTGAAAGAACAGGGTAGTATCTCCCATATCCCAAGGTAGGCAGAACCTCTAGCATGCGAATGAAAAGCGCGGTCGAACGATCACCAACAATAGCCGGATCATCGACACGAACCCTGTGTCTGAAGTACGCATTGACCTTGTGACCGTTAACTTCAAAGAACTCACGAGGCGTGCCGCGGTTGGCATAAATATGGAAGGAGAAAGTGACGTCGCGGAATGGCTCGCAGAGTTCAGCGATGGACATCTTGTCAGTTGTCAAGCCATCCCAGCCATGCAGGACGAAGATGCACTCAGTCTTGGCCGCACGGGCTTCTTCGAGGACCATTGCGAGATACTTGCCGATTCGACTGATGCCTGAGATTCGGTTCGGGCCGGGTTGGATGATTGTCTGCGTCTTGTGGGGACGGTGACCTAGGACACCGAATCGCTTGCGGTGCTCGGTGACGGTGATCACCAGAAGTGAGCGGAGGTATTCATGCATTTGTTTGGTGGTCAGGGTTGCCTTTGGATAGCCGTGGTCGGTCAGGTTTGAGGCTCGGGCGATGAATAACACTACTGGGCCGAGGCGGTCGCGCGTGCCAGCTAGGTTTGCTTTGGATGGCGAGTTTTGCGTGGTGTTGTCGTCCACCGGGGGTGGACGAGGTTTATTCGGCGATTCCTTTATCTCAAGCATGGTTGCAGAGGATGGAACGCGCGAGGAGAGAGAAGGAGATTGGAGTCACAGAGGAGAATAGGGAAATACCTGAGTCAATATGGAGGTTTGTTTACAATTGCGATCTGATAGTGTATGCCCAAGTTGGCGAGTACGTTCAGAGGAAGGAGCGACCCTAACTTCAAGATTACATGGACTTTGGAAGGAACGTTGGAAGAAAAGCTGGAAACTTTGTAAACATACAAGTCGATTGGTGAGACCTCTTGGACACGACTATAGAAAAGTGACAATATGATATCAATATGAATCCATTTCACGCAGTTCACCGCTTCTTGATGCTGACATCAATCTTTCCAATGCCCCAGGCAGCGACAAAGACTGTGAGCAGCCCCGCGAAGATAGTCAAAGGCTTGCGTAGAGCATCAATCATGGAGTGATCGTAAGTAACCTAATGGCAAGTTAGCATAACTGCGAGATAAACAAGTGACAATACAAATCAATACATACCACGAACTTGGAGTCACGCGCTTCATCGGTCAGACTGTCAACCTCCAGGGTCAATGTGGTCCGGCCCAGGGTATCCATGTAAGTCTTGAGAGAGCTGACATGAGCGTGAATGTGGTTCGCACCAGGGAGGCCATTGCTGTTGGCTCCCTCAAGGATTTCGAAGCGGACATTGTGAGCACCTTCGGGGAGAACAACACGCACAATCACACGCTCATACTGGATACCTTCAGCCATTTTAGGTCCCTCAATGAGCGGGGCCTTGAGGACATAGGAGTCGGAGTCGACACCCGCGGCACGGCGCAGGAACGAAGCAAGGTCGTTGTTCCAACCAATGCGGAAGCTGTAGTTCCAGCCTCCGAAGATCGGGTAACGGGGCTTCAGCTCCAAGCTACCTGCGCTCTTACCAACGCTTGGACGGTAGCGGCTGGTCGAGACATTGCCGATATCATCAATGAAGTAAGGGTCGACAGAGCCAGGAAGAAGCGGGTATGTCAGCTCACGAACCGCTGAAGTAGGGGCTTTCTGGTAGCTGGTGAAAGTCCATTCGACACGCGAGAACTGAGTGGTCAGCTCCGAGCCGTTGTTGCGAAGCCAGTACCGTTCCTCGGTTGCAAGGTTGCCGCCCCAGTGCGAGACTTCCAAGTCACGCTCCAAAAGGTTTACAGTGATTACGGGCTTGGTGAACTCGTACCGGACGGTAATTGGGTGATCGGTGCCCGGGGCCACCTTGGCCGTGTTATACGGGCCGTAGGTGTATGTCGCGCCCTTGCGCTCGGGGTCTGGGCCGGGCTTGAGACCATCAGTGGTTGTGTAATCCGGCACATTGGTGCTGGGGAACTTCAACTTGGACTTCTGTGTATCTGTCGTGTAGGCGGAGGGCATATAGGCGGAGAAGGAGTAGGTGAGGTATTGCTTGTCTGCCTGTCCAATGGTTGCGGGAAGCGGGCTGAGAGAGGAAAGCACCGAGTACGAGATTCCAAGGGTAGTCTGCGACTTCGGGGCCAAGGGCTCGGGAAGGTGAATGACGAAGTATTGGTTGCCGCTGTTTCAATCGATGTTAGAATTGGTGTCACGGTGTATGTGCCTCGCCGATTACAAGGCTAGACCCTTGGTATGGCCATTGGCCTCCCAATTGGTACTCACTCAGATGACACAGCTTCAGTATAGTCCACATTGAAGCGTCCCTTCTCGGGGGCCTTCTTATCCCTCGCTTCGAAGCCTGCAATACGGTCGAACACCTCAGCAGAGAAGGGGATGTAGTAGTCGCTCTGAGGCTTGTTGTCGATATTCTCCACAACAACATTGACTGTTTCCCTCACATAGCTCTTTTCCAAATTGGTATTCCGAACCAGATTTGTGTTTCTGAAAACCTGCGGTGGTTTGAAGCCGGACGGAAGATCCAATCGACTAGGCGTAGTAAGGTTGGTTGCGGCGCACAGGCTGGGCGCGAGCAGCCCGAGCACCGTGGCGGTGAAAAACCTCATGATGAATACCTGGAGGACTCAATTTCTCCAAGATTCAAAAGGTTCAAGAATCCAAGTTGTGAATGTGTCTGGTCGATGAACCTTGGGAAGCTTGCGAAGCTGATGATACGTGGTCCCCATTGTATACTAGGGTCGCCGGAGCGGCCACATCGCGCACTCCGGCTTATCACTGATAAGGGCCTAGTTGATCTCGGGAGCTTCTCCTCGTCTTGCTTCTTTACTTCTTGCATACTTGACGTGCAGGTTCAAATTGGCTAGAGATATAGCTGGATCTTCTTTTCAGCTATCATCATGCTGTCACGTACGATGTTCGCATCTCGAGCTGCTCTAAAGTCCGGCTGTTGGAAGGGAACCCAACTGTCGTCTGCTCGTCGTTATCATGGTCTTGCCCAGAGCAAGTTTTTTAAGGTGTCCGAGGAGGTGCGCGACGCAGTTGCTACAGGGAAACCAGTCGTCTCACTCGAGACGACAATCTATACACACGGTGAGTCTTTCTCTTTTCATTCCTGCGATTGAAGAGCTTCGCTCAAAAGCGGGGAAGCCAAGACTGATCGGCTGTAGGTTTTCCTTATCCCGATAATATTGCTCTCGCCGCCTTGTTGGAGTCTGTTGTGAGAGCCAATGGTGGAGTTCCTGCGACGATAGGAATCCTTGGTGGTGTGGCCAAAGTTGGCTTGAGTACGGAAGAGCTTATCGAGCTGGCCTCGACAGCTCAAGATAAGAGCGCTCTGAAAGTGTCTCGTAGAGATCTCGGATATATCTGTGGCATGGTGAGTCATTGTTACAATGGCCTAGAGGACTGAAGCTGATTTGTAATAGGGCATGGTTGGTAAGCCTATGTACGGCGGTACTACAATCTCGGGCACTATGATCCTGTCAGAACTAGCTGGTATCAAGATCTTTGGTACCGGTGGACTAGGTAAGTCCAATGATCAAAGTTCAATCGAAAATGTAGCCTATCTGACTTGCTCTAGGTGGTGTGCATCGCGGAGGAGAAAACTCAATGGATATCTCTGGTAGGGAAAACCGTGGAAACAAAACCAGCACCCCCAATTATTGACAAATGATTATAGCCGATCTTACCGAGCTTGGACGTACCCCGGTGACGGTAATCAGCTCTGGATGCAAGAGTTTCTTGGACATTCCTCGAACGCTCGAATACCTCGAGACCGAAGGTGTCTGCGTTGGTACATTTGCTGATGGCCGAGATGGCCCCGTTGACTTCCCTGCTTTCTTTACACGAGAGAGCGGCATCCGCAGTCCCCGAGTTATTCAAAATGAAGCCGAAGCTGCTGCCATAGTTTGTAAGTTTACCCCATGCGTCGAAAGCTACAACCTCGTTGACAAACTTTCCAGACGCGCAATCAAAGCTACCAGTAGCCTCCGGAATCCACTTCGCCAACCCCGTCCCCCTGGAGCACTCCATCCCTAAAGCCGAGATGGATCTTGTGATTGAAGAGGCTATCCGCCTTTCCCATGTAGAGGGTTACCACGGCAGTGACAACACGCCATTTGTGCTTGCTAAGATCAAGGAACTAAGCGGTGGAAAGAGCGTAGTCGCTAACCGGGCCTTGGTTGAATCCAATGTCAAGCGTGCAACCCTAGTAGCCGTGGAACTTGCCAAGCTTGAACAAGCTGACCTAGGAACAGGGTCTCGGTGAGTTTTGTTTCTAGATACGAGATACGAGATTCAATCAATGCTAAGTTCGGAGATCTCCTTCCCTATAGACACATGCCATCAATCCCAGGTGTAGCTTTGCCAAGTCAAGTTGAAGATATCCCAAAACCAGCCATCACCGAGGCACCCATTACTCCGACCCTAGAGGCAGATGTCGTGGTAGCCGGCTCGCTAGCCATCGATCTATCCTGCGACTACACTCCATTCGGAGATGAACCTACACAGGTTGCACCAGTACCGCACACCTCCAACCCAGCAATTATCGGCCAAAGCCTAGGCGGCGTTGGCCACAACGTTGCTGTTGCCGCCAACTACGTTGGTAGCGATGTGCTCTTCTGCAGCGTCGTTGCAGACGATCTCAGCGGCCGCGCCGCACTATCAACCCTTGAAAAAGAAGGCCTCAGCACCGCAGGCATTCAAGTCCTCCCAGCGACGCCGTCCACCCGCACAGCACAATACATTGCAATCAACGACGTCAAAAAGGACCTCCTAGTAGCCATGGCCGACATGGGCATCGTCGAGCTACCCGAATCCCAACTCGACTTTGACAGCTTCTGGGAACCTCTTCTCGAACGCACTAAGCCAAACTGGGTCGTCGTCGACGCAAACTGGCGGCCCGAAGTGATGGCCAAGTGGAGTGCTGTAGCACGCAAACACGGCGCACGCGTAGCCTTCGAGCCCGTTTCAACCGCCAAATCCCGACGTCTGTTCGGCAGCGGTGCAAACAGCACCGGCGCAACTATCGGTCCCAACCAGACTGTGCCAGATAATGCTATTAGCCTTGCGTGTCCAAACCGTCTTGAGCTGGCGGCTATGTACACTGCTGCGCGGGAATCTTCTCTTTTCGAGTCTGCAGGATGGTGGCATATCATTAACACGATGAATATGTCTCCGACGGGCTCGCGTGAGCGTCTCATTGCAATCACTTCACTGTCTCTCGTCGATGAGGGCCTTCCGCAGCAGACTGTCCAGCTTCTTCCTTTCATTCCTTGTATCGTTACCAAGCTTGGTGGTGCGGGTGCTCTGCTCACCCAGCTTCTGCCGCCTGGTGATCCCCGTCTTACGGATCCGGAGTCTGCGCCGTATATTCTTTCCCGGGCGTCGCCTGCATCGGATGTGCCTTTCGGTGGTGTTTACATGCGTCTGTTCCCGCCTGCTGCTATTCTAGGTGCCGATGACATTGTCAGTGTCAATGCGGCGGGTGATACACTGCTAGGTGTTGTGGTGGCTGGATTGGCTAAGGACTCTTCCGTGCGCGTTGAGGATGTCATTCCTATTGCTCAGGAGGCGAGCCGTAAAACATTGGCTAGCGCTGGAGGTGTGAGCAAGGACTTGGTTGAGCTGCGGGGCCTATTGGGGTTGTAATAGATGTAGCTGCTACAGGGCCTTAGGACTAATAACGTTGATATCTAAAGGTTCTCTATATGAAGTGGGCGCCTTAGGGTCTCCGGACTAATGTAAAAATACATCGGATTTCAGATATCTCTCTACCTTTCCATTTTAGTGTTCACCCCTAGCCATAAGATTGAGCGGGCGTCACTGTTTTGGCCGATTAATTGCAACGGTTCTTTCAAATTATAGGGCTGCGGTCCACTGTGGGGTAATAGCTCTTCATTCATAGTCATGATATGCTAACCTTCGAGCCTATTAGGCGATACAGCTGGGTTGCCTTAAAGCTCAACAAAAAGGAACCGGTTCCATGGTAAGAATCCTTACGATACGGTAGGAAAGGTTGATTGATAAACAATTGTATTTGTGTGATAAAAGTTGCAAAAAGTATTATGACCAAACGAGTGTCACAAGTTAAAATCTCCAGAGGAGCTAAGCCAAATGTGTCCCTTGTGACCCTAACCAGAGGGAGAAGGGGATATCCTTGTGCTTTCTCAAGCACCCTAAATGGCCTGGACATCAACCCAGAACCGGGTATCATCAGACTGATACTTCTCATCGCTCTCAATCTGCTCTTGAATCCATGCCACAGCATCGATGTACGCTATCCACGATGTAAGAATAAGTCAAGCGATTCATGGAATAGGAAAACTCACCATTAATGTCATCTGTGCCGGGGTTGTTAACACCACTTTCTCCGTTGCGGTGGCCACTGAACCAGGTTTCATATCCGTAGTATTCCTCGCCATCGTGGCGGGCTTGGATATCTTTGCCCAGATCGGAGCTAGCACATATCAGTCAACATGGTCGTGGCAGTCTATAAACCAGAGGACTTACTTGAGGATTGCGCCGTTATCAACATCGTCAACGGTCTGTCCGAGGAATTCGGATGCAGAGTGCCGCAACATGTACCAATTCTGCTTGAAGATACCGAAGTTGGTGGCGTCGCCACTCTTTCCATCACCTGTAGGTATTATTGTTAACACCCTACTGGTTTTCACAAGCTTGTTGCTACCTGTACATACCATAGGTGTAATCGGTGGTCATTGTCGTCGTCTCCAGCATCGCAATCGCAAGGTCACGGGTGTTGCCGCCAGCGTTAACTACCTCCTGCTTGCGGGCTCCCAGGCCAGAAATGGTTTCGGTACCCCGATCATCAGCCCGGACTGCGATATTCTTGAATTCGGTCACTGGAGATGAGAACACTGCAGGTACAAGTGCCATGACACCGACGAGGGAGAGGAGCTGCATTTTGCAATAGGATGGATAAAAAGGCTTTGTGGTTTGACTGCTCTTAATGGGACTGGGGGTTTTGATTTTGATGGAGGAAGAAACTGGAGGATAGAAGCTCCTTCTTATATCCTGATATTTTATATAGCTTAAGCAACAGAAATGGGAGTGATCGGGGTGCTCTTTCACGACCGTGTGGGAATAGGAAAAGATCACCTCATTTCAAGCACCCCGTAAGGGTATTATGAGAAGACTGCTTATTCTCCTTGTTAACTTGGACTATGCGAAATTGCGTTTCCTGTCTATGCCCGGATCATTTCCTGATCTGGAATCGAATGCTCATCCCAGTGCACGTAAATCTTTCCTCAATGAAACCGGGCTGTTTCAAGTAGGATCTTGGCCCCGAGATCTCTGGTAATAGCTCAAAGGAGTAAACATGAGGCGGTATTACAATTGGACTCGAAAGTAGAGAGTACGAGTCAATGGTTGACCGGAGAAGGATATTGACGAAGTAACCTAAATAACAAAGAAGGATGCCATGCGGTAGTCGGCAGGGTGAAAACAACTATACACTAATAATAATGTGGGGGTAAAGAGGAGCTCAACTCGGTACTTGGGGAAATGGGTACTTCGGATTTCTGCGGAGATCCTACAATCCTTCCGCCCCGCCCACTATTAGCCCAAATAGGCAATTGGATAGGCGCATTGGGAGACTCCGTGACATTCTCGGTATGAAATAACCACACCTCCGGAGATGAGACTGATGTTGGAGTTATTGATGTATAAAGTAGAACTCCTTTTCCCGTTCAGCATCTTGTTGCATCTTCAGCGTTTGGTTCTGGGTAACTGCTAGTTGTCGCATTACAACTAAACCATCTTCAACGGCGACATGTGACCGTCGGCCACGCGTCACACGCGATACCATTAGGTTTTGGTGTGAGACTTTGTTATTATAGCCGGGACTCGGAGTTGACGTGCGCTTGGAGGTGTATTCTGCTAGACTAGCAGATTTGTAGCCCCGGATAGACCATTTCACTGTTTCCCATGCTCTTCTTATACATGTTTATGAAGATATTTCGTTACTTTTCGCCTTAATGGTTGAGCGGAAATCATCAATGCTGCATTATAATTGTATGCCAGCAAGCAACATCCCAATTTCGCCGCTCGAAAAGCCCGTTCAAGACGCGCTCTAGCATGTCTTTCAAGTAATGGATGCCTTCTTTTAACCCTCCAATTCTCCATATCCAGGTCTATTAAACATTCGAAGTATCGTAGAGTCAAGAATGTTTCAGAGCGAACATCTCAACAAGTAATAAAGGGATTGGATTGAATCAAGCGCCGAAATTTCCCCGGATTCTGCTACTTAGAATAAGGGCTCTGCCAGCCTGTTGCTTCAATTGGTACGTTTTCCATTAGTCAAATCGAGGAAGGATCAAGTTTGAAAGTGTTCGGCAGTTCGCATATGCTCGAGAGTAGGAGAAAGCGAAAGTACGACATACAACATACCTAGGTAGTTCTGTTAAAATAGGAATATACAGAAGAATGCGAGGCTAACTACCTTGGGCACGGGACAGCCGTTCATTCCGGAGCCGGCGGAACTCTGGGGAAACCTTATAATCTTCACATTTTCACATTTTCACGTGGGTTTACTCCACAAAGACCAGACTTTAGCGAGGACTAATGAAGACTAATAAAAACTCTAGTGAGGTCTAAAATGGTCTAGCCCTGGTCGATAAACCCTCTTTCTCAGAGAACCGGGGAAGACGATGGCTCCTCACTTCATATCGAATCATCACACTTTGGCTAGTCAAACCGCCCACGGGTGGTACCCGGAGACTCATCAACGTGTGCCAGGGCTTATTCCAAAGTGACCATTGGGGAAAACCCGCCAAATACTTTCCCCTTTCCATTTCCATTTCCATTGAACTTCCCCCTTTCAATCCAAGAATGACAACAATTTCTTGAATAAACGTCAAACCTGATATTTGGGATCATCCTTTCGTAAACCCTCCTCTGTGTCATCAGATGGCATCCAAAGCTCGCGATGACCTAGCGGAAGTCTCCTTTGATGAGATTCCCCTGGAACGGGGGTCAAATTCCCACGATGGTGACATCTTTTCCGATCTGTCGGCGCGCATCCCCAGCCTACAACCGCTGTCATCGGGTGCCAGAGCAGCCACTAGGTCGGAGCGAAAGATGTCGCTGCTCACCGGTTGTCAACTTTATCCAAAGGCAATCTTATGGTCAATTGTCCTCTCGTCAACGATCATTATGGAAGGCTACGACACGACACTTCTCGTCAGTTTCTATACATTCCCGGTCTTCAATCAGAAATATGGAGCCCCAGACCCATCTCAACCGGGAAATTTTGAAATTTCCTCGAAGTGGCAATCGAGCCTGACCTCTGCGGCTGTGGTAGGCCAAATCATCGGGCTATTTATGAACGGCTTCCTCGCAGATCGGTTTGGCTATCGCCGGACAATACTGACAGCCTTGGTCTCTTTGTGTTGCTTTATATTCTTGCCTTTCTTCGCCGTGAATGTCCAGATGTTCCTAGCTGGCCAGATTCTATGTGGGATTCCGTGGGGAATCTTCCAGACATTAGCCACAACGTATGCAGCAGAGGTGATGCCAGTTGCACTTCGGGCATATATTCTAAGCAGTATGAACATTTGTTGGTTGATTGGACAGCTCTGTGCTGTTGGAGTAGTCCGCAGCCAAACAGGCAATGAAACGGAGTGGGCATATCGCATGCCACTTGCCTTACAGTGGGCCTTGGCCGTTCCAATTATAATCGGAGTTTATTTCGCACCCGAGTCCCCAGGTATGAGGTGTTCCCCCTAACCCAATTCTTCTATCGATTATTTGAGTCTTACGCTGCCATTAGGCTGGCTGATTCGCAAGGAGCGGCCCGAGGAAGCCAGAAGGACATTACTACGCCTTACCACAGCACATGATGCTTTCAACGTTGACGAGGTGGTAGCGATGATGACACATACCAATGAGACGGAAAAACATCTGGGCAACGGTCAAATTACATACTTGGACTGCTTTAAAGGGATTAATCTCCGACGCACGGAGATTGCCTGCATGATCTGGATTACACAGCAAGCTTCCTTCTCCAGCTCGGGGACTTACGCAGCATATTTCTACCAACAAGCCGGTCTCAGCGTTCAAAATTCCTTCACCCTTTCTATCGGTATGTACGGCATAGCTATAGTTGGCGCGATCTTGTCGTGGTTCTGGATGAGGCGAGCCGGACGCCGTAGGATCTATCTCGTTGGACTCGCGGTCTCAATGGTGATTCTCGCGGTTGCAGGTGGTATCGGGTGTCTGCCTACAACAAATGCCCAGTCATGGGCTCTTGGGGGCCTCATTACCTTCCTCTCATTCATATACAACCTCAGCATTGGGCCTATATGTTATGTGCTTGTTGCGGAGATCCCTTGCACCCGGCTGCGCATCAAGACTGTTATCCTCGCCCGTATCGTTTATAATATGGCTTCTATCTTGACCAATGTCATTACCCCACGAATGCTGAATCCTACAGCATGGGATTGGAAGGGCAAATCGTGCTTCTTCTTTCTGGGATTTAGCGCCGTGTGTTTCATTTGGTGCTACCTACGACTCCCGGAGACATTTGGATTAAGTTATTTGGAGATTGATATCCTGTTTGAAAAGCGGGCTAAAACCAGCAAGTTCCGGGAACTTCAGCGGCACCTGGCGAGTAGAGGGTATTTCAGCGTGCCGGATGAGGGTCAAAAGTTGCCCGCCATGTGGTGATGAGGAGTGTTGTTTAGTTTCCTTGATATATATGTACATTATGACATGATGATATGTTTAGCACCTGCACTCACATTGTTAAATTACCTAGATATTACCCACTACAGGATGTAGGCCTGTTAAATGACGTAGAAACCCATTACCATGATATTATTATGAAGTCTGACAGACGGGGACTTGGTCGCCCTGCTCTTGGTGCTAAAATCCTCGGACGACGTTGATGCCTTCCGAGGCACTGGATCTGACCAGCGCAGTGACTCGGAGACAATCGCAAGATAAATTTAGTAGAGGATAGATGGATGGACAAGTAATCTTAACGGTGTTTGACATTCCGTTAGGCGGAATGTCCTATCCATCCCAACGCTTCCATTTCGTCTGGCAGATCATTAAGTCCCCGAATCCCTTCTCACTCGTCTTTAGCATCTTTGTCTGAGCGAGGCTCCCATCCCGCTTCAGCCATCTCAAACGACTCAAATAAGAAGGCCGGTGCAACCGTGCAACCAACTAATGTCCAAGCCCCTAGGCTTCGGGCATGCTGCCACTCTTGGCGCTCAACGACCTTTTGAGGCTGCTGGCCCTGTATAGAAATTAAGCATTGTCAAGTGGCCGCGATACACATAATAGAAAAATATACAATAGAAAAATAACTTACCGCTGCAAAATCAATCCCTAGAATCGTGTCCCGGGTGGGTGTTCCATCATTCCAGGATAGTGAGAGTTGCATGGGGGCGCCAGCGTAGTAATGCCATATCTCGACGCCATCAAGAACACGGTGCCATTGAGAGAGGCCACTTTTTCCCTCGAGAAGGTAATAAATGCAGGTGCTATGTGAGCGACCGTTTGATGAATTGCGGTCGCGGAAGGTCTCGACGTAGTATCCCTTTTCTGGATGTGGAGAGAGATTCAATAGCTTGATAATCTCTTCTGCGGATTGATTGTTCGCCATGCTGGTAAAAATGATGGTGTGAAGATGGGCTTACGGTTAAGTCAAAAGCGGGAAAGAGATGACAATCAAATACGGAGTATATTTACCCTTGATGAGTCAGTATACGATATTAATAGTCTACATTGCTTCTAAGCAAATCATATCTCAGCGCGGCGATACATCAGCTTACTTTCTATCCACGCCAAGATGTCAGACTTACATAGGTTTGATTGTTCACTATCTTGAAACAATTCTAACAACCTTTGCCTACGCTTGCGTACAGCACTAGGTAAAATCGTCTTTTTGTCAGACACTCAATACGCATTGGCAACATATATATCTTGGACATCAATAAAGTTAACCGTCATTGATCCACTACAAAAAATATTGTCATCAATTGAACAGTAAATTGTGGGTTTAAAAAAAATCACGATATTAAGGATGTAATTTACAGCCAACACAAGGGGCAGGTGGCTCTTCGCTGTGGTATATATCAGTCCTTGGTTCCCCGGCTACGTTCAAATATCCCACAGCACCTTTCTCAAGACGAAATATGGCATGGTCCACGAGCGTATACGTCCCAGGAACCTGCATTTTAAGATCAACAACCGTAGAGCCGCCCGGGGGAACACTAACGGTCGGAACAAACTGTCCAGGGGGGCTAATAACGTCGCCATCGCGATAGACCTTCTCAAAGTTGCTCCCGATGACATGGAATGAACTCGTAAGGTTTGGCCCGGCATTTCCAAAAAATATGCGAACTGTCTCATCCACGGAAGCTTTGAGGGGCTTATCCCTCGTCAACGCGGCCTCATGTCCATTGAAGACAACCACACTTGGCTCCTCTCGAATCGCATTTGGATACGAAAACTCCACTTTCGACGACGGTTTTCCGTCGTCCTCGATTTCCGGCGGCTCGTGATAAAACTCGCTCTGCATCACATAGTACTCGCGATCTACCGGAGCGAGATCCTTTTCGGCTGGTTGCACATACATGAGCCCATACATGCCGTTGGCAATATGCACTGGCACCGGTGCTGCTGCACAATGGTACACATAAAGACCTGGCCAATGGAGCTGAAACCTTGCTGTCTTGGTCTGGCCTTCTTCTGCTGTTGTCAATGCAGAGCCACCCCCGGTCCCTGGATTGCATGGCAGTCGATGTTGTGCGGGTTGCCGGTTTCGTCATGGTTTGTCAGTGATATCTCCATGACATCGCCGACTCGAGCTCGTATGAACGGGCCAGGGACAGTGCCATTGAAATTCCATTGTTCGTACTTGTACTGACTAGTCAATTGTTTCACCTTGGTGGAGGTTGTCAATGGCACCTCGAGGAGAACAGGGTAGTCTCGAGTGATCGATGGAGGGACATTTGGTGCAGATGTGAGCACTGCTTTCTCTTTCGGGAGGTTTGAGATGTCTTTGCATCGTTCTTCGGAGATATTGCAAGGGCCCGAGTGTAATCTCGATGCTTCATTTGCTTGGGGCACCAGGATTGGGTCTGACCCGCTTGCTTGCTCGGTCTTGGCCGAGTCCATCTTGAGTGTGCCCTGGTGTTGAAAATATAGGAGCCCACTGAACACGATTGATGCAGATAGAGCAAGAAAATATCTTGATGAAATGTATCCTGCATGACTATTTCCTCTAGTTTTGGATTGTCCTGTCGAAATCCACCTGGTCTGTCTGATTCCAGCTTGCAAAAGGGGCGGCTGGAATGGGGCATAGGACGAAGGATGGAATAACTTTTTGTTTCTTAGGGCGCTAAGAGCGCGGTGCTGCTTGGCTACCACCGGTTTGGGGAAGAAATTCGACATAATTCGCGACATATTCATCCGTCTTCGCATGATTGACGAAGCCCGAGGGATACTGATCGTAATGATTGCTATTATATTTATGACATCGACATGATGCAATAGGTGTCACAAGCAGCGTCTCGTGGATGCTTTCGGGCGAGTGGCGTCCGAAAAGCGCTCATCACGAGGATATCGCTTCAATCTCGCCCCCAGATCGGGATTTCTGTGCCGTCCAGTTTGCCTACAAGTTGTAGGATGATGTGACTAAGAACATTTCCCAAAGTGTTAGTTAGCACACCTTGAATGGGGGCCAAAGGTGCCAAGACTTATGCGTGGTGACAGCTGTCTACCATGGTAGAGAACTGCCACTACCGTGGTAGAGAATGTAGGTCTAGGGCTTGGCTTTTAGGGCTGAATTTATAAGTTCTTAGTCTATTATCGGTTCTTACTCTCTATCTAGATTTATTTCCTATATACTGAATTTGATCTATATATAAGACTATTCAATCCTACGTGTGTGAAGACTAGGTGTCGGCTTTTGCTTCTAGATCCTTCAAGTCAAGTCTCTTTTTAGCGGTTCTGATTAGGGAGAAAGAGAGATGCTGAACACTTTCGGGCTATCCCCCATATTGTATCATATATATATGCTAACCCGAAAATGAAAATAAAAACATAGATTGAGATGGGGTGAGGTAGCGGTGTAGGGATATAGGGATGAGAAGAGATGGAGGGAAAGGATGGAGGGAAACGATGGAGGGAAGGGATGCGAAGAAATGGAGGGAAACGATGGAGAAAAAGGACACGAAGAGATGGAGGGAAACGATGGAGGGAAGGGATGCGAAGAGATGGAGGGAAACGATGGAGAAAAAGGATACGAAGAGATTGAGGGAACGATGGAGGGAAAGGATGCGAAGAAATGGAGGGAAACGATGGAGAAAAAGGACACGAAGAGATGGAGGGAAACGATGGAGGGAAGGGATGCGAAGAGATGGAGGGAAACGATGGAGGGAAGGGATGCGAAGAAATGGAGGGAAACGATGGAGAAAAAGGACACGAAGAGATGGAGGGAAACGATGGAGGGAAGGGATGCGAAGAGATGGAGGGAAACGATGGAGAAAAAGGATACGAAGAGATTGAGGGAAACGATGGAGAAAAAGGATACGAAGAGATGGAGGGAAACGATGGAGAAAAAGGATACGAAGAGATGGAGGGAAACGATGGAGGGAAGGGATGCGAAGAGATGGAGGGAAAGGATGCGAAGAAATGGAGGGAAGAGATGGAAAGGTGATATATCACATAGAAATCTATGTACCACCGCCTTCTCCAAGCACGTATGCCATTTGTATACTTTGCGCTAATTTCATTTTTTGTATACATATTTTACACCTCACTGTAACAGCTAGGCGACCCAACATTGATCTTGAAGCCTATGAAAATGAAATCAATAATCTTTTTTAGGGCGACGCTTCTTCTAATTCTATATACGACACTTTCCGCGCTACGTATCGCGTTGCTGTATACCCCGTACAATAAGAAGATACCTTGAAACATTAGGGGTTAAACTGATATCCCAACCATTCATAAGCCAATAATAATTGAGTCCCAAGTGGTATATTCCTTCGCTCATAGCTATGCATGATATTCCCACTCCCACTTCCGCGCTTTGTATAGTCCCGGGGGATTATCTAGATCATACGGGGTATAGATTAGCCACATGTCTTAAGGATGCATCCCACGCTTGGGTAGGTTATACCGTGTCTATCATGAGGCCATCTTGGATCTTGCGAAATGCGTGGAGATGAGGTAGTTTGGATGGTATGTATTGGCAGAGCCTCTAAAGAAACAGAAAGTAAGCCAATGAAAAGAACCTTGGAACACCATAATTTTAGGCATACCTCGCTTGGAATTCCGTCTTGACATGTATTTCCAAAGAGCGCATAGAGGTTGGATCAAAGCGACAAATAATGCCATGATTGCGATAATAGCTTCGACGGAGAGACCCATTGTATCGGGAAGCGTGGTGTAGAAGACACTAGAGGCAAGAAGCCTGCAATTGCATCAAAAGGGTGGTCAAGTAAAAACTTGAGAAGGGGATGAGAAAGTCGAAATTGGATGCTTTCTGGAAGGTAAAAAGTAGAGTAAATATATGGTTTTATGTTTTCCCAATGTAGGCATAACTGCCTGTTTTGGTGATTTTTGTAGACATGGCGTATCATTGGAGCGCAAGTATGTCAATATGCACGCCTGACTTTGAAGCCAATCAGAGTGGCGCCTATGTTACCACAAACCAGATCTATCTAAGCCTAGACTAGCGACCTTGTTTTTCAAATTTCCCTGGGCAATTTAGACCTGCCCCTGAATGCAATCAAAAGCAGAGCCGCTAGTGTTTTTCTTCTTTTTTTTCTTCTTTTTGTTAGTACAAGTGTATATTCCTAGGGATTTAAACAAATATACATACCACTTTCCAAAAGTATTCGACTATATACTCGGGATTTAAGAAATGATTGCCAATAGTAATCCCATCTATCTAATTGCCAAGGCAGCAAGGCTGTCTAAGGCAGATAGGACCTTTGCTCCCCACCTAGTTTTATCTTGCTTCTTCTTCCTTCTCTCTATCTGAGCCATTAGCTCGATTTAACCCACGGTTTTTTTCCCACCTCGCTTCCCTACACTAATTGAGATGCACTCGGCCTAATTCAGACAAAGAGAGTCTGAAGAGTAGAGCTTATACAGTGCCATTCGAGTCGACCCAGTCGAAGCGACCGGATGGCTTTGCCAACTACACATCCTTGGGACCTTAAGCTCCTATCGGCTTCTTGAAGCGGTTGAACAGGGTGCCGCCCAAAAGGCTGTATGGACAGATACCAAGATAAATAGAAAAACAATGCTGATTATGAGTATGTCTATTATCTTGGTGGCACCTATTGACTTCCATGCAGTCATCTACAAGACAAAGAAACAGATTAAAGCACCACCTAAGACTCAATATCCTTTGGCGGCTTTTGACCTCGGCACAAGTCCCGGATCCAACAATCCAGCCTGCACAAGCACACCAGCCTGATCCCAATAAAGACTCTGACGTGTAATCTGGCGGGCACTGAAGCTGGCTACCACGACAACAATTACCTTGATCTCTCGATTGGTTGGTAAAACACCAGGTAACAACCATGGAATCTCAGCAGTATGTCGACAAGTAAACAACATTTCATCCACGATGCGATCCACACCTACAGTGCGCGATAAGAGACGGACACTCTGATCAACCGGCCCAGCAGGGATATACGCATGAGCGAAGAAATCTCTCAAGGTTGAGATATCAGAGCCTGCAATATCCATATCAGTAAATCCCCGAATCATATCGTGGATAAAATAAAACGGGGGGGGGGAACTCACCTCCAGCATCGGTAGGAATACACTTGACAAAAACCTCACCAGCGGGACATCCCATCTCACCATAATGGCCATGACCAGTCAACATTTCAACCGCGGGCTCAGAGCCAGAACCTTCAAGATGCCGTTTCCGCAACTCCAGCTCACCAACCACACGATCCCAATACTCTTCCCAGACAGTCTCGATATCAATAACAGCCCAGTGACTCCCGACATTAAACGAGCGTCGCAGACATCCCAGCATCCGACTCCAAGCCAGTTGTGAGCTGATTTCATCTTCGACGTTCAATTGCGGATCCACCTCGCCTTCTTTCTCTTCTGTAATGTCCCGCTCTGCAAACCCGGCTCTGGACCCCGGGTACGTGTACACGTAGCATCGATGTTTTTTCTTGTATGTGACGTCGCCTTCTGTGAGACTAATACCGATCCATGGCCACAGTGCGCAGGGCTGGACTCGTGGGCCTGGGATGTGAATTTGGATTGGGATATATGTTGACTTGGAGGCTGGGCCAAAGATTGAACTTGTGTCTGAGCAGCCTGGCGCTTCGCAGTTGTCTTTTTCCCTGTAGGTGAATTGGTCTGTTGAGGAGAGGGGATAGTAGGCTATCAAGGCGCATAGGTGTGGGAATGGGTTTGTGTTTGTTGATACCGTGTGGTGCAGGGCTAGGAGGAGGTAGGCGGGTCGGTGATATGCTGTAAGTATAAGGTTAGTTGAGTTTCTGTTATATATTGCAAGGAATGAGGTATCTGATTCGAATAACGAAGCAAAGAAAGCCGAATAGCAGACGTACCGACTATTGCATACCGCTCTCCATTCTCGAGTTCGTCTTCTTTATCATGCACGGCCTTCTTCAGTGCTTTTGCGTCCTTCTCTTCATTCCCGCTACCGAGGAATGGGATATAGATCACATCGAATCCTTCAGCCTGTAAGCGGTGGACTACGTGGGTATCGAACGCCACGGTGTCGGAAATCAGGAATAAGTGTCGGGGCGCTGGCTCTTCATATCGCCAATTGCGTTTAGCGGAGCTGGTGCTCACTGTCCGATGTATTCCATGCGGATGAGATACTGCGGAATTCGGACCGGTAGAATCTGCATCTATGTCTGCTGGGTTACTGCCGGAGCTTTGGGCTCGGCGTCGAGTGAGGCGTTGGAATACGTTGACCATAGTCTGAATGTGGGATGATTGATTAAATTAAATCAGGGGGACAATTATCTCTGTTTATATGTGGAAATATCAGCTTGGAGTTCGGAATGCCCGGACTGCTGTTCTTGGTATTACATTGCCAATGCTTAGGGTTCTTGGGTGACGTCATCAAGTACAGGCCATTACATGTGGGCATCTTGGTCTATTCTGGGGGAAGAAAAAGGAGACCAGTGATCGGGTCCACATTTGATGACAGAATTTAAAAAAAAGGAAGAAAGAAAGAAAGAAATACATAAACAGTGCGTGCGGAGAGGCATAGCGGTCAAAGGCCGAAAGCCTAATTTTGTAGGGCTGATGCCTTGATATGCCTGGATTATGCCCAATATTAGCCGTATACTGTAAATTAAAGCTATCCACACCACCCAAAGCATCCGGTTACCCGACTCCAAGACATTGGCATTCTCGCGGCGAGGCTGGTGCTGGAGGAGAATTATGTTTGCCCAGCGCAAGGCATCAATCCCTCGCCGAGTGGGGCCTGATGGAGCATTGGCAGGCCCCGCTCGGCTAGCTAGGCGGCCCGGGAAGGTTGACGCGCGGGCGGTTGGTTGCAGTGGGGGGCCCTAGGGAGGTTGACATGCGGGCTGGTAGTATGCATTATCTCTTGTGGCATCTCCAATAGAGTGAGTCAATGCGTTGATAAAAGTTGTTACTGATTGTAACACGGTAGAGATCAGAGAAAAAACAGCGTATTCGGTGTGGACTAAAAGGCACAGGGGGGAGAAAGAGGGAAAGAGAGCTGACGTTAGAGGACCTGGTACTATGTGATGCCACCTGGGTAGTCAAGATGGCTGAATTTCGGAGTGCCGTTGACCCCAAGTTTACCGATTTGGTTCCCGGTATCTAGCCTCCCATCCTTCTCTTCCATTGACGCCTAGACCTCATCAGAAGTAAAGAACTGCTTAAATTCCTCCGTTTCCTACGCCTTAAGGCCAAACCTTAATTTACAGAGGTATAGCATTAGCTCTTCGATGCCTAGTATATGCAGGCTGAAACAAAACGTAAAAAGAAAACAGCTTTTAATCAGCTTAGACTGTAGTTATGCGTAATAATGGGCTTTGATAGGGGCTTTGATAGGGGCCTTGACAGGTCCCCATAGATGGGCTTTGGGCCCAGGATCCAGGCCCATTTGTAGGCTTTGCGGAGGTCTAACCCACCTGGGCATGTTTTGCAGGTAGCTAAGGTCAAGACCGAGCTGATAGGCGGTCTGATTCTGCCAAAGGATAACTTCTGCTAAATTAGGAAGGCGGTCTATTTCTGCCCAGAAAGTGGGGTTATATTGAACCGAATGCAAGATATTTCGTCCTTCGGGGCATATGGTCAAATGAAAATATACAAAGAAGATTAGCATGGTCCCTGCACTAAGGATGACACGCTCAATCAAAGAGAAGCTACCCATTTTTTTTAATTCACGCAAGCTTGATGAAGAAGGCGGAGTAAAAGGTGGCGGAGTAAAGGGTGGTGGAGTAAAAACAACCATATCATTACACTGATCTATACTAGGCGTTGCGTGACAGTCACGTGCCATCGCCGTTCGACTCCCTACGTTGTCGCGGAGTTTGAATAATGAGTGAACTGAAAATGTATAAAAAATATTAACAAAACCCATGCACTATGACCTAACTCTTTTTCCTTCGAGATTCTATATTGACGTTATACTATGTGGGTCCTTGGGACTGTGTTTTAATTGGTCTT